CTCACGCCCTCACGTCTACCTCCACCCGCGCCATTCCGATACAGGATGCGACCGAAAGTCAGTTGTCTTTACGCCCGTGACAAGGCAGATAACTCATTTTGCGTCGTCTTGTGAAACAAACCGTACTTTTATATGAAACCGAATGCAGCGCAAACTGCGCAACTCAAAAATCGCAAATCTCAAAAATACGCTCGTCAGGCCTCATACTTATTCAAAAAGTGAGTGATAATGGTAACGCCACCAGCAATCGAGATGATAGAGTCGTCGACAGCGAAAGAGTGTAGATATGGGTAAACAGATTTGTCTGTTCATAAAGCTGTCATCGACCGCTGGCGGGCCGCTGGGTCAATGACTTTTATGTTATTACAGGAATGCTAAGCATTATTTATTTAATATGATTGCTTGCTTACTTAGTCTGTGTTACACATAAAAAGATTACCTTGTCAGAAGACGCCTTGCTTTTATTAAAATCTCCGTCCTCTAAGATTTAAAACTTAAATTAAAATAATAAAATGACTTGACGATATTCTCGATATCACAGAAGACTTACATTGAACAACATCGTCGCCTTACTTTCTCAAACTCGTATCTTAAGCACAAAGCAACTGAAATACAGAAAATGCCTGTTGTATACATATTTGCAGGCGACCCTTAATGGCTTTTACTGTTTTCTTAAAGTAATGCTTTCAAATTAAAACCCTTAATAAGAAATTGAAGAATAGATTTTTTTGTATCTCCTAAATATTAATCACTCTTTTTAAAATATAATACGTATTTGGGAAAGTAAGGCGTCGATATTATTCTTTGAGTTGTATAATCGATGATATTTATTACTAAATAAAAAAAAGAGCCACAAAAAAAAACTCATGACTAGGCAGTATGGTCCTTGACCATCGCTTGTTCCTGTACGAAGGAACAAAAACATAACCTGTCACTGTCAGTGTCAATGATTACATATCGAGTTAATGTGGGAGTTAATAAATCATTTGTGCTCGAGAAATTCTTTAAATCTGGTATTTCTGGCGAGTAAAGACACAAATGTCTACTTTGGCGGCTAGAGCGGCATCACGCCGTACACTCGGTCAGCTATTAAAGCAGGGATGGAACGAATTCCCTGAAGTCGTGGCGTCAACTGGCATGGCTTTCATTGGTATAGGTTTGGCTACTGTAGGATGCTACAATTACGCCAAAACCGATGGAGACAACAGAAGATACAAGAACACGTACGTAATAATGAGACCTGACGACCCTAGAGTACAGAAGATAAGAAAAGACTAGATATAAGATGCAATTTTAGTGAAGTGTTATTAGTGGGAATTATGTAATAAAGCTATTGTATTGCCTGTGCTCGTTTGTCTTCTGCTATTTGAACTAAGCCTGCAATCCTTTTCGATTATACACACACCGGTATATTTAGCGGATCAAAAAGGAAATGACAATAGTAATATAATGTATTAAATGAATAAGAGAACACATGTCAATTTATGACAGTTTTACTCAACATTCATTGAAATATCGAAATTATACAAAATGCTTGTTACTTTTTATTTTATTTTATTGGCTTTGATATTGTTGTCAGTTATTGATTAGAAAAGTCAATATTTAGGCAGAGTAAGGAATTTATTTTGTTGTGCAAAACAACGGAGCCATAGATACAAAAGTTGAAGTTAGAAGAAGTTTGACAGACTGCTGCTGTGGAGATCATACCTGAGGTGAAGAAAACAACAAACTAAAATATAATATTATAAGAGCGTATAAAATGTCAAAATTTATTGCAGGATTATGTTGGAAATAGGAGAAAATTTAAAAATTGTGACCGTTTGAACTTTCTTCTTTTTCTTGCCAATCTTTAACTAGAGTTGTATTAAACTGTCTGTCCGCAGCAGGGGAATCTTTATAAATGCCAAAGTCTAGGATAATTTTAGGTTTAAATATTATTACATCATATGGACAAGAAAAAAGAGGACATTTAACACATTGAAAGACAGGAGAATTAATTTTGATAAATTTATGATAGCTTTTGAGAATGCAGGGCATCTCTTTGACTTGCCAATATTTAGAGGGTCTAGTTAGATCAGATAGTTCATGGAGCTTGGTTAGGAGAGGATGAAGGGACATTTGTGCAACTTTGTAAAAAAATCTATCAGCTAGAAGCTGCCTCCTCAGGAATAGTGGAGGTTTGACACACTCTACCTGGAGAGCCATTGAGAAAGACTTCATGGCACCAATGATAAGACGGAGGCACTTTGACGTTAAACTCATCAAAGACATCTAACAGCAAATGAGAAAATGTGTCATTTCTGTAGGAACCCCAAGCTGTGTAGTGGCTATTAAAGTCCCCAAAGATCATGAGAGGAGAACTGATGGCAGAAAACAGTAGATTAAGCTCAGGAATGAGAGAGTGATGTGGGTGGGGAATATAGACTGACATGAATGAGATATTAAAAGCTCTGATTGCAACAGCATTAATTTCATTAGTACTGAAAAACCCCTGTCCCTGTAGTCCCTGTTCGGGCGCCAGTGAAAGGGTTGTAACCCTAACTAGCCTTGAACAAGTTCACGGCAATGAAACGGGAAAGAAGTAAAGTTAAAAGAAAGGGCCCTAAATGGGCCGAGTAACTGAATTACAGATATAGGTACATGAAGGCTGTAGACTGTTATAAATTATTACACATGATTTAGTTTATTTAATGATTATAAACGTAGTAAAGAACCAAAATTAGCGATTATACGCGATGGAATTTGAAACAGCTCCGAGTGTTGTGGCGGTCGAGCAGGGAGTGACCGTGGTACGAAAACAAAATGAGAAAGTGAAGGAAGATGGAACAATTCAAATTTAAATACATGTAAAATAAAAAAAATAAAGAATACAAGCGGAGAGAGGCGATAAAAAAAGGTGAAATGACGGTGTAAGGAGGTCACACCGTCACAGTTCTGTGGTCAGGGAGGGAAATTTAGTGGAAAATAGTAGAATGTTTTATTAAAATTAGAGTACCTGCATACACATCTGCACCTCCCGAACACATGAATAGCCCAGAATACGGAATATCGATCCCGGAACCAGCCATGTCTCCAAGAGGATGATAATAACAGGTTTATATTTATTTATAAGAAATATGAGATCAGACTTTTCAGGCCTGATACTGCGACAGTTCCACTGCAGAAGGAACAGATCCATTTTTATATTTATTAATAATAGGGGAAAGTTTATTAAGCACGTGTGACGGTAAATCGGTGTCTTCAAAACGAGACAGAATATTTAAAAGTGTAGAAACTAATAAATCAAGGAAGTTATCATTGTCAGATGTATTAGCCCTATTTAATAAGGCAGAACCGTTAAGTAAAGAGGAAGTGGGAGTTGCGATTATATACCTATGGGCTTGTTTGTCATAGCCTGAAGTTTGGCTAGGGGACTTTGCTTTCTGATTTATTGTAAGTTTTTCTGTATGAAGTGGTACCAGCGGAGGAGGAGGATTCTGGAAGATCGCCTGACGGCTGGGAAGCACGCAGACGCTTCCAAGTAGGATATTTTTTCTTGGGATATTCCAAGCTTTATTGACTTTTGTCGTTAAAGGTCAGGACAGTTCTTGTCATTAGATTGGTGCAGAGCTGAACAGTACAGACATGTTGGCGTAGTAACATTACATGATTCCCCGGGGTGAGGTTGGGCGCATTTATAGCACCGAGGTTTAGATCACCATTGTGCTTTGACATGGCCAAAGTGGCAGCATTTCAAGCACTGAATGGTGGGAAGAAGATAGTTTTCCACAGGGAGAGAGGAGTGCCACATGCTGTGGCAAAGATTGACCAGAAAATGTGACGACATATTGGGTGGGAACCCACTCAGTAGCATTATTGTGCGTCACCTTCCTGTTGAGACGACGGGCTTTAAGAATATCACCAGTCCCAGAAGGTAGAACTAAACTCTCCTCAAGTTCTTTCATTGTTAGGTCATTCGGTACACCTTTGATCACACCCATACGGGTAATTATGTGTGTAGGAATAATTGCCTTGTAATCGGCCTGACTAAGGATTGGGTTTTGCACAAAATTATTTGCTTCATGTGCTGAAGCAAATTCCATTGATAGTCTATTACGACCAACAGACTTGAGGTTGCCATTTATGATGTTTTTAATTTTATTTTGAAAAAGAAATAGACCAAATTTAACAGGTCAAACCACTATCTGGAGCAGAACCCAAACCAGAAACTTGTACTACAAATGGACCTTTATCGCTGGAGGAATAAGTCTTCTTTTCCTCTTTTCTTTCGCTGATGGTGTATGAAATTCTGTCACAAGTTTTTTTGGGGTTGCTGTTATCAGACGATGGCGGCAACAGTCCCGATTCCCCGGATATATCCGGAGGATCGGTACCGCCTCCTTCAACCTCCATATCAGACATATTACTACATATAAGTTACCTTCACCACGCAGATCAAACACAATACAATAAACGGCACACTAGGATATGGGAAATCCACTAAAATAAACAAATTCGCAATTCAAAGTATACGAAGAGTCAACAAAAACTTTAGCGAAAAAGAGCACGTGTATCTTCCAATCACTCTGACCGAAAAAACCCAGTGCACAACACTTCAACAACTACGAGAAAACGCAACTCACGCACACTCTCTTCACATCCCTTCATCGAACTTCAAACCGGGGCTTATATATGCTTGAATTATTCTACAAATTTACATTGAGGTTCGCCGAGAGCTTGTTCAAAGCCTGTTTTCAAGTCGTGAGATTTTCCTTTTAGGGTTTTATCATGCTACTTAATCTCCTGTTTGACAGTAGGGCTTTTCAGGTAATCATATCATTCATTTTTATGAACGCATTTATCAGAGTTTTAAGTACACCATTTTAAAATCTCTTTAATATCTCCAAGTTTGACATACTTGCTGATCTCCACAGTTTGTAGAGCTGTGTAGTAAGCAAAACAACAGATTTCTCAATGAAATATTATCAGCTAAGTTAAATAAAATTAAATGATCTTTAAGCGTATCGCAATTTATTACAAAACTAATTACAATTCTTAAATTTAGGTGACTTTTAAATATCAACAAAGAATAAACAAAGGGCCGTTGAGATTTAACTCGAACTCTGACATTCGCCAGTAGCGTGTGAAAATGGAAACAAATCTTGAATTGTTTACATTTTCACAGAATATTAATAATAGCGTGTTTCCGCAAGTTCAACTGCCGCCTTCAGCAGACTACTTCGCCTTGCTGAAGGAGGCGCAGTGAACAGACTACTTCGCTTTGCTAAAGGAGGCGCAGTCAACTAGCTGCTTACACCGTGTCGACTGCCGTCTCTTCAGCAAGCGAATTGTACTGACGAAGGCTGCGCAGTCGACGCAATGTTTACACCAAATCATTCAGAGACAACAAATCGTTCGAAATCTTCAACAAACTGATCGGGAACAAGTAGGTATTCTCCGCCCCGCGTTGTTTTATGACGCGGCCGCCGATACATTGAGATTTGTTTCGTCCACCGACTCTGGACGACAGTGATTAAACCTAGTTGACTCACGCGACTTCGGCAGCGAACTACTGTCTTCAAACGGTTTCAGTGTTTATACTGGGCGAGTTGCAGTCTTCGGCAAGCAAGCGGAGGCGACTTGTCGACCTAATGTAAACGCGCTATAAATGTTCACAATTATCAGGTTTGTTGGTGATTTCATGCAATTTTTTTTATATTCTACATAATATCTAAATACTTGGTACTCTTTAAAACTAAAATGGTGGGCTATAATATATAATACAATACCTCTACTAGTTTTAGTAACAAACAGTGTTTTTTTAGTTTTTTGTCTCCATCTGCAATTTGTCCTGACCCATAAGCAAATCCATACTATAGTTTTCAAGTAGTTTGCAATAATATATTTTTATTATTTAAAAACAATTAGTAACATTTTGTTTCCGTAATGCGGACCATCAAATATCTATTATTTCTGAAGCATAGAAGACACCATTTAATAGTGTTTGTAGGCGAGTCACGGTGCCGGTTGGTAAAACTTGAATCGGTGTTACCAAAGTTATTAGGCTACTCTAATAAAACCACTTACCTAAACACTATTTTTCCTCAATAGGTTGTCAAATGTGTAACAAGTTACGTTTAAACCTGGATATAACGCCACTGACTTTTGGTGTAATTGGTTCATGGGGAGTATAATGTGAAATTCAGCTCGATTAAAATGACAAACCGACAAAATTAGAGCGACCTAAATTTCTGGTAGCCTACAAATTTATTTTTTTTAACATGACAAAACAACAATTATTTTTCGTACTTACTCATTAACATACGATCATTGAAATCGACAAATGGTTCAGCGGTTTTTTAAATTTTCCTTGACTGATTTGTTTTTCATTTCAAATTGCTCATGTTACTCAAAGCTCAAATGTCATGTTATTTTCGGTTAAATTGTGTATGTTTGGTGAATTTTTATCCAATGTTTACCACTATACCATTATTTAGGTATGCCTAGTTACGTTTTATTGAAAAAATAACAAATAGTCACGTCTATTCGACATTATTCGTGGAGCGCACTCTAATAATAATGAATTATATGACTTGATTTCAGTTATTGCCACGACATACTAACACTGATGTCATAGTTCAGTCGGCATACTTTAACATCGATTCTTGATTTTACTGATCGTGTCCATCACTGGTTCATGAAGTTTGACATGTGCCATTCTAATGAGCTAAATTTTATAATGTATAGAAGACATTTTTTTTTAAATATGGGTCAAAATGTAACCTGTCGAACTTTACAATAAATTACACCACAACTTCAATAATAATCAGTTCAACACTTTAAAACAGGAAATAGCTTCCCGATGACTTTGTATGTTATTTCTTTTTCCTGCTAGTACTGGGTTTGTCCTTGCTGAAACCAGATTTGCTTGAACTCGGCCTTTCTTTACTCGTACTTGCCTTTTCTTCTTTCACTTTCTTTTTCTGAAAACAAAAGTCAATTTTATAAGCAACAGTGCTGCAGTTCTAGTTACAAATTGGAATAGATAAAAGTTTTTTTTATGTTAACCCGTATTTAATTAATGATTTCAAATTGAGTCAGCCATATATTAATTAATGTTCCACCTGTGCCGAAACTTTTGTGGTCATACCTTAATAAGTGCATCTTTCTCCGGATCACTATCATTGTCCTCCTCAACTTCCTCATTGTCGTCTTCTTCACCATCTTCACCATTGTTCGCTCGGCCCCGCTTTATGCTACCCGGTGCATAGGGCAATGCTAACGCCTTCTTGTTGTATGTTCTAGTCATTGCTGCTTTTATCTGTATATGTCATATTAATAGCATTTATTTAGCAAAATTATCGTTATTTCATGAAAAGTTAAAAATTTTTGCAAATTGAATACATTCGAAATGACTTCTCGATAAACGAGAATCCAGTAAACAAGATTCACTCTCACAAAAGGAAGATTGTATAAATTATAAATTGAATATCAGATAAATTAGACTAAAAGCTAACTACCTTAAACGATAGACCGGACTATACTAGGTAATTAGATCTTTTACAGATTTAAAAAAAATAAAATGTAACTACACTATATAACAATGTAAACACGAGTCACGATTGTGTGCGCCTGTATATAGTCAGGGTATGTGAGTGTATGAATTAGGGTTGTTGCTGATGCTGATTTTATTGATTTAAATTAAATAATGTTGTAAAATATTCAGATTGTTATTGAATCTACTATAATAATAATAAAAAACTGCAATTAATGATTTGTGACATTTATTAACAAAAGAATCAGTCTTCGCAAAACCAATCAATGAGCTTAGCTTAGTCATATTGGAATTTTATTAAAGGTAGGTTATATTTTAAAAGTAATAACTGAGCTGCTTTTTTAGCATGCAATCTGTTTCTGGAAGGTTTGTAAAATACTCCAGCACTGCTGAATAGTTGGTCGCTAGGAACATTCGCTGGTGGTGGCGACAAAAATGTCCGAGCCATTCTCTACAGATCACGACAATTATGTCCATTAATTCTCCACCAAACAACCGGTCAATTTCTGACACAATAACTATATTTTTCCAATTGCGCCTTTGGAATTGTATCTGAGTTTTCTATACCGTCAGTATCGCTACTCTCCTTGTCGCTTGAATCTAGCTAATTTTTCAATTTATGCTGCTAAGTTAATTTAGAATCTTTACTGGTCGATCGATGGCTGATTTGAGTCTTCTATGTTCATATTTAATGAAGCAAGGACGGTTCGTGTTTTTTTTCGCCTGATTAGCCAAAACTCGCACGCGAGTGCCATAATCCCCACCCCCTTAGGTCTTGTTACGACTTGAAAATCAGCAATGAACATCAGCATCGATCAATGCTGATGCTGATGCGGATTATCCGCGGCTGCTAACGCGGATGCTGATATTCGCAAAACCCTGGTTTGTGTATAGAGTGTAATGTCTCTTTTTTAATTTGTAATTCGCGAGATCGCTTAGTAGTACACACAGTTTAGGAACCCTTATTAGAATTTAATTTGTATTGAATTGATATTTTAAATTAATATGTACATACATAACATTATAATTATTTTTTGTGAAATTACTCCACTAGTTTGTTATAATTATTGATACAAAGATAGATTTCTAATAATAATTATAACCCTTATAAGATTTTCTCCAAGGTTCAAAAAGTTATTTGACTATGGATAGTTTGTATTTTACGTCAATTCGATGTTACCAACATTACTATTTTTTGCGAAACTTACCTTACTATCAACTAAGATCATGGGATCCCTCTGTCCAGGCCATAATGACATCTCAGTCAACGAATCCAAGTCTTCCCTTAACAAATGATATGATTCCAAGACTTCTAACGATTTATGGATACCGTCTGCTTTTTCCTTTACCAATGGCATAACTATGGCGTCTCTTATATGTGTACAGTAATCCAAAAAGATTGATGATTTAGATCCAGATGTGCTGAAACAGATATTAAGATTGTTGTGGGGCAGACAATATGGGGAGAACTTGAGTGGAAGGTGTTTGTATTCTCAGTTCACAACAGCGATCTGGCTTGTTATGACGTCCAAATGTTTCATCATTTGATGATCAGTGCGCAAGGATTGACATCATTGAAGACAACTTTACAATGTCTCTCACGAATAAAAATTATGGCACTGTGATACCTCTGAAATGTACCACTGGTGGTACGATTGCGATTTTATCGTTTTTATTATCCACCGAGAATAAGGATTATCGGTTATTTTCCTAAACACGAAAAAAAAGACGGTGACAAGAATCACCTATATCCTTCATATAATTCAAGGTCAAGAGCACGTCACGTTTGACACTTAAGATTTAAATTCAACTGTATGTCATTATGATTAAGAACCGTCCAGTGACAAGTTTGATGTGCGTGTGTTGACTATACAAATGACATAATTGAAAAATCTCTGTTTTATAGAACTGTGACATCCTTTGGATAGACTTAGGTGAATAGTTTAATGCCTACTTGTGTATAATTCTCACCTAAGTCGAGTATGAGCGTGTATTTCTTGGCAGAGTCTATTCATCTTAGTGGCTCGCGAGTTCTTGCCCAGCCACCCAGGGAATTGTATCTGACCAGCCACATGGCCAGACATATGGTGACCTGGTATCACGGAGCTGTACACTGCCTGAGAAGTAACAAAGTAAATATAAAAATAATGTCTTTATTGTGAACATTAGGTTTATGGCAGTAAATTATATCTAAGGTGAGCCTAGAAGCCGCGGTAGCCTAATGCTCTATCGCCTCTCAAGAGGAGGCCGTGAGTTCGAATCCGGGCTGAATTTATGTACGAAATTGAATTTGAAATTTACCATGAGCTTTTCGGCGAGGACACATATCGTGATGAAACCTGCACATAGAAGAAGGTTCACAACATTTGGAAAACATGTGAAGTCCCCAACCCGCATTAACTCAGCATGGCGGACTATGGCCTAGACAGAAGGAGCTCTACTACTACTAACTACTGATATTATAGAATGCCTTTAATCAAATAATACCTGCACAGGAAGCAAATTCCAAGCCTGTTGCCGACGTATCCTGGCGTCGACTAAGTCACCAAAGCTGATGCTATCAGCAGCTTTGCTTAACCTTTCCAGCACCTCGTGTCTAGAAGAAATCGATTCAATTTATATAAATAAATGCATACAGTTGAAATAATTTTGAAACACACGTCACATATCGTTCTGTTAGTACTAACTAGGAAAGCATAAGAATAATATTATTTGATCTTCAAAGAAATAATTGATATATTGTAAATGTGCATTTTTTAAATAAACTATTATTTTTTAATTAAAAAAAATCGTTTTATATATTACCTTGTTACTGGGATGTATATTATTATGTTACCTTGAATGCAGTTCATTTATAATATATATGTACATAAATTATGTTTGAGCATACTAAATTTATATTTGGTGTCAAAAACTAATATTAAATCTTTTTTTAGCATTGGTCTTTTCTTTTAACGAATGATGACATTTCTAACCTGCTTGCGCCCTCCATTCAGTAGGGTTAGGTTAGCTTAGAATATGAAAAAGCCACACGAGCCGAGAACATGTTTTGAGATCAAATTATATTGTAATTAATATAATATTAGTATACAAATATAATCAACATTTACTTAGTTTTAAAAATAAGTACCTAAATTTTATTTTTAATGCTCATTTGTCTTAGTTTTGAGGCACAACAAAAAATATTAAAATCAATCTATAAAAGTCAATTCTTTTTTGCCTTGCTGAGACTAGATTAAAATATCATCAGAGAAGGAGGATCAATCATTAAAAAAGATGACCGTTTAGATTTTCTTGCCTGTTCCTTTTGCAAATTTAAAAAGATCATTTAAATACATGGGGAAAACTTAGGAATGAAACTTGTATAATCAAAAACGTTTCACAGCCCTCGGACAACGTGTAAAGTCCCTTAAAACCCTTTTCCTTTAAGGAGGGGACTCGTGCCGAGCAGTGGGATGTATAATGGATAATTTTTTTTTTTGGACCACCGACAAGACATGAATTAAATATAACAAAGGAAAACAGTGACACAGAGACTTAATTCTGCCTCTATTTAAAGTTCGCCACGGTATGCAAATGTGGACAAGACAGAAAAAATATACTAAACAAGTTGATCCAATGGAATTTAAAAAATCAAGATTAAACCCTAACCGAAATAATAACAATAGCCACAATGAATTAATTATTAAAATATAAGTAAATTAAAAACTTACATTACCTTAATTACAAATACTTAAAATATATGTATAAATTGAATGATGATGATCTTACTTGGGACAATGCGGCATTGCTTGCAGGTAATTCTCCTGAACGAAGAGCGGCGATAAGCTGTAGTCGTAAAAGAACAAATCGCTCTTGTCGTTGATGCTCATCGTCTTGTGATCTTGCTCGGAGAATACTTTGCGGCAAGCTTCAAACGGACTCTATAATTTAAAAAAGCCTTCAACCATACTATGTCCCGTTCGAAATTTTTTCTTAAAATCTATTACATTGTATGTCGAGTTCTTGGGTTTTCACGATTGTTACACATAAGAAATGAAATTATTTCTTCGGATTTTTTTTTCACAATACCAAGTGACAGGACGAACAGGTCGTGCGCCTGATGGTAAGCTACATGCCTGTCCACAACAGTTGCAGTGCCACACAGGTCTTTAAACAGCAAAGATCTGAGGCGCACTGCCACTGCGCCCGTCACTCTGAGACATAAGTTGATAAGTTCCATGTGCCTGTAATTTCACCAGCACCCTTACCCTTCAAAACCGGAACACAGTAATGCTGACATTACTGCTTGGCGGCAGAGATAGATAAGGTGCCAGTACTTCCCTGGACGAACTCTTTCACAAGGAACTCTACTGATACTAACATCATTGACATGGCCAGCCGTGTGTGTCCATGGGACCTCTAAAAGGCCCGAAATTTTGGTTTGTTTAAAAAACAAATATACGCAATTTAAATCCGAAACTATACTATAATTACATAAGGTGTATTTTTTATGAATACTGAAATACATAAACATTGAAAAGCGCAACTTTTACAAATATACGGGTAACTAGACGTCTCTATTTATACTTCACATTTAAATACAACTTTATGCTAATTACAATAAGACTGTGTACGCCACGTAGTATAAAGCACAAATGAACTTCCACTGTATTCAATATGTTCTTATACATAAATTGCATAACAACTGAATCTGTAGCAACAGTTTTCTTTCATCTTTAACATTGTTATGTTGTTGAACTGTATTTAGTTAGATTGTAATCATAATTAATTGTGTTTTGATTTTTGTAGTTTTAGTAACATAGATTGTACAGAACATTTGACTAATACAGTATGTGCAATAAATATAATACTGTAGTACAGTTGGTAAGAACGATAGGCCCCGGTTTGGCAAACAGTCGCCGGTTCGAGTCCACACGGTTCGAAAGATATTTTTCCTTCACGTTTGTTTGATCCTTACGGCAATAATAATAAATAATTGAATCTAAAGTTGAAGTACACATGTAACTATCGAAGAGATCTAGCAGATAGAGACAAGCTCACCTTTGTATATGTCCATTGTAACGTGTGTTTCATGTGTCTTTTCTTTGTACAATACAGAATATAATAATACACATGTAACTAATATGTTAAAAATGAAGTCGCTTACCAATTTAAAATCTTTTTTAGCACTCTGAGCGTCCTTCTTCAATCGTTCAGTGTCACCGAGATTGGAGTCTACGGACCACATTGAGAGGAAGTTCAAGGTCTGTCTGACATCCTGATTGGCTGCCACGATGAGTTGAGTTAATGCCTCGGGAGGTATTTTGATGCCTTCTTTGCAGCAAATTGACATCATAGCGGACTGAAAATGATCACTTTTGTAATTTGCGTGGCATCATACATACGCCAAAATGGGCAGACAAAAGTTCTTTAATACTAAAAAAATTGAATAAAAACCTACATATGTCTACTGTTTTCACGCAGGAAAATTCTGAGCATTGCCTGTAAAAACCTAACATATCCACTGTCACTACAGCGACATCTGTTGATAAATTTCAAAACTTCGCGTTTCATGTAGCAAATTATTTTTTGCAAGGTTATTATCTCCTATAAATTTTAAAAATGTGGACACAGAAGGTATTAATAATAAGGTGGCGTTATGCTAACCTGGGAATTGTAGTATTGTGAATAGATGACCTAATGGTCACAGGTTCCCAAATTTTTTGGCCCACCGCCCATTTAAGCAAGATAAAAAAATTCTACGCCCACTCACAGAAAATAATTTAATACACGTACTTTTCATATTAACATAACACTAACAATCACAAGGAAAAAATTATATACATGTTGTGTAGTTTATATAGATAATTCAGGTTTTTTTTTTCAAATTGGTCACTTATAGACTGTAACAGACAATATCACTGTTCATTATTAATTTTAATTATATATTACATTCATGTAACTATCCTAATTATGGATTTATTATGTTGTCTAAATAAATATGTACTTATTACATATTTAGACAACATAATTATATATATATATATATATATATATATATATATATATATAATAACGATATTTAAATTCACAAAACCTCATCGAAAATATGTACATCAATGAGCTTTCATTCCGCATGACAAGTTTTGATCTGATTGTATCAAAATGATAAAGAATTGTGTTTCAAAACGGAACGCAGCTCATATTACTGCTTGGCGGCAGAAATAGGTAAGGTGGCAGTATTTCCTTGGACAAATTCTTTCACAAGAAATCTTGTGATGCTTACCTTAATCTGCTCTACTCGAGGTCTGTTAAAACGGAGGTCGTAGCAATAGTTAACGAACGATCTCATCTTTTGACTGTTCCGGTCATTACACATGCATATAATAGGCACTGACGTGCTTTTGATCAAGGATATTAGCTCTTGGAGACCACCTGGAGGAAAAAAAATTAAGAATTACAGCTGACTATGGCCAACATAGTCAGTAAAATAAGAAAAACAAACAGTTCGGGACACGGGCTAAATCTACAATTCTTGTGACGTTATGGGGATCAATGAGACCTGTGCTTCATGCGCCTGTGTTCGTGACGTGATGCATTAAAAAAAATTAAATGTAATAAAGTTTTACAGTGAACGTTATAAAGTAACAACAATTATAAGCAAAATGCCTATATGCGAATTGCGTGCCATATTTATTATTATATAGACACTTTAAAATAGGGATAGCCTTTCAGCTGCGAATTTTCAGCACCTCCTATTCCTTCCCATTAGGTATTGCTATTGCACTTTTTCGGAAATGGAAGACGCCGAAATCACACGGCTAAATTTAAGTGGATGAAAAGTACTTACCTCTGTCCTCATTGCCTGCCATACCATCGACTTCGTCCATGACAAGCACGTGCTTCTTTGTGACTGCTTGTTTGCCCGTATCACCTATAAAGCATAACTCTGGAATTAGGTTCCTGTAGGACCTTGAGAGGCAAAAGTCTTGCATTGACACCCACAACAATTAAAATAGGCAGAACACGTCGAGTTGCGGATACCCCGCCACTCGACCAATACAAGTCTTAAATAAAATTATTGAGGATTATATAAATATTTTGAATTACCTGTAATTAAAATACAAATCCGCATTACTACCTAAAAATGTATTATTAACCGACTTGAAAAAAAGGAGGTTCTCAATTCGACTGTTTTTTTGTTTGCATGTATGTTACGCGATAACTCCGATAAATTTGTGAAGCGATTTTGATGATTCTTTTTTGTTGGAAAGAGGGTACCTCAGTAGTGGTGCCATTTAAATTTGAAAAAAATATTCTGCCTCTAAGGGTGGCAAACTAGAGGACGAATCCGGATTCGCGCACTTTCCTGTAACCGATTTCAATAAAACTTAGCAAATAGATGTAATTCCACGAACTTTTGAGGTCGGTTGTTTTGTAATTGGAATTTAAATTCCATTTCAAGGGGACAAAGACTCAGTGTCATTTTTATCTAGTTCACATACTTTCTTTATTTCATTAACTGTACATTAAACGTTATTAAGAATAAATTTTCACAGATGGAAGACTATATTCGATGTATATCGTGATGGTGGTGTAATTAAATTGCTTTATGTTTATAAAAACAAGAGTCAATGAGGTCAGGCTGAAAATTTACACAAGGATTAAACCGAGCCTTTTTATTTTTTTATACTACAAAGTGATGGGACGAACAAGTCGTGTGCCAGGTACTAAGCTACACGCCCGTCCATAACAGTTGCAGTGCCACTCAGAGCTTTAAATCGCAAAGATCTGAGGAGCACTGCGCCTGTCACCCTGAGACATAAGTTGACAAGTCTCATGTGCCTGTAATTTCATCAGCACCTTTACCCTTCAAAACCTAAAAACAGTAATGCTGACATTACTGCTTGGCGGCAGAAATAAGTAAGGTGGCAGTACTTCCTTGGACGAACTCTTTCACAAGGAACTCTACTGCTACTCAATATGCCTCTCAAGAAGAGGCCGTAGGGCCGAATCCGGGCTCGAACCTCATAGGTAAGGTGGCAGTACTTCCCTGGACGAACTCTTTCACTAGGAGCTCTACTGCTACTAAAATCTAAATCGTATATTTGTTTTTCCAAACAAACCAATAATCTCGATCGAAGACCTCGTCGACCCAACGGTTTATATTGTGGTTAGTGAATAAGTAACACTTCCCTGGACGAACTCTTCACAAGGAGCTCTACTGCTATAAAACTAGTGTGGTTGTCTGACATATTTTTATTATGCCATTTAAACTAATAAAAGCGTAGTAAATATTTAATTTACCTTTAGCATAGGCAGATAACGAAGTAGTAGTGAGTAGTTCGCCAATTTGTTCTTTGATCAAAGTCTTATTTCTTGTATCTGACGCGTTGAACTCAACTACATCGAAGCCTAGTTCCTTGCAGACCAGCGCCACTGTTGTCGTTTTGCCTATAATAAGTTTAAAGAGTTGATTGTTTTTACTAGTTATTCCACGGAAGAATAAGCAATGGAAGTGCTTTAAGCCTCGATTAATATCAGAACCGCTGTTGCCAAAACTCATACATTCATAATTTTAAACACAATTAAATCTTGATAATGGTTGGTCGTAGTTTCTAATGTAAAAAAATCTGGACAGTTCATATAATTTAAACTTTAACCTGTTGGCACAAAGTTGAACGTTCATTATCTATTATTGCTAGTTGCGACGTTTTGATTTTATATTGCAATTGCAATCAATATGCTGCCATCTAGCGGACAATAGATGAACGGGTTCGCGACGTTTACTTAGTTTTCCAAAACCAAGCGAACATATTGCAGAGGTATAAGGTTTACTTTCGTTACTTGTAACAAAAAAAGACGATAAACAGAAAATTTAACATTTATAAAAAAAACGCTTAACGATGATATGAAACACCACCATAGCAGCAAAGTAAGGCATTTTTTAACGATTTTCGAGGTTTTGCGCGAGATAATTGACACGACCATAACATACAAAGCAATAATGGCTGATTGAGCTTAAGTATGTGAAACATCGCGTACTGTTGGCACACGTGACACACAAACTAAGTACTTCTACTGTATTTATTGTTCTGCGAGTTTCTTCATGGAATGCAAACTAGTGGAAGTTTGAAGTGGGTGTTCCCTTGTAGTCATTGTTGATATTTATCTTTCATAACCAACCTATGTTGTGCGTCAACGCTCTCTTAAACCGAACGTGTGCTTCACAGCGTAAAATCTTTCTCTTCAAATCCTTGGAAAATCCACTACATAGGGGTGGATCGTCAGCCTACCTCTACGATGACGGAATTAAATCATGCAATTCTATAGCACTGTCTATGATATATCTTGTACAATACCGACAAGCAGACAACCTACCAACGCCTGGTGGTCCAGAGAGCAAAGCTGCTTTGTAGAATCCACCATCGTCGTTCTTCGCCCAAGGACTGGGCTTGGGAAGCTTAGCCTTTCTGTTCACGTACCATTTTGTCAGCCAGTTTATTAGTCTGCAAAATTTAGAATAGAGAATGTCAGACAAAAAATAGAAGATTATGCTTGAGTTTGTTTCCACACGACACTAACAAGAATAACGGAAATCAATCAACCTATAGCTGCACAGCTTGTGAAAGAAAACGATCAAAGGTTTTAACGACTTTCGACTGTCTTTGTTCAATCGTTAAGATTCAATTTGAACCACTGTCACTTACAAACTTACTCACTTCTTAACATTACTCGCGTCTCCATGTTGTCCGATAATCTGCTTTACATTCTGTGGTTTGTATTTCTCCACCCACATCATAGAGTTTACGGCGTTTGTACTCGTTGCTTTACATGATTCACTAACAGCTGTGAAGTGAAAATTGTTTTTATAATCCAAATTGAAATAGTAATCAAGAGAAGCCTTACTTTCGGTCGACATTAGACTGTGTGCACATCTCTGTGTGCGCTGCGCGGCCACGACTTTTACACCCCGTCGCCGGTATAAACTCGGCGTAGCGAAATTTTATTTTAATAAAACGTTATCTTCATTGTTAACTATTTCCTATATTTTAATTATGTTCCTGTCTGCATACATTACATTCATATAGACAGAAATGGGGAGATACACTTATTCTCCCATTAGATGGCGCATGAATCCTGGTGCTGTTGGACTGGCTATCTTTCAAGTGTAAAAAACGTTAAAAATGAATGAATTCAAAGCTTGACTGATTTATAAAACGTTTTAGTGTTTTTTTTTAGCACCAGATTCGAAGCCCATTTATGCCATCGCCATCGTCAATTTTACGATCGGCGCACATCTCTAGTACTGACTATACGAGATACCGTAAACTTGTCGAACAATGTCCACTTAACGGCGCAATAACTTATAGAAATAACACAATAATAATCCACCTGATATGTACCCACTTATGACTTATAAGTGTATGAAAATTACGATAACTACTGTTTAACGTGCAATGTGCAAAATCTAGCTTAATGGTAATTGTACTTGAGAAACAATATAAATAATGGATTAAAGTCAATTGTCATTAAAGGAGTCACCACACTAATTAACGCATAATCGGTTTGAACCAGTCAGAAAAAGCTTTACATCTGGCTTAAGTCAGTCAGAAAAAGCTTTACATCCGGCTTGAGCCAGTCAGAAAACGCTTTACATCCGGCTTGAGACAGTCAGAAAACGCTTTACATCCGGCTTAAGTCATTCAGAAAAAGCTTTACATTCGGCTTAAGTCGAGTCAGCCAGAATAAGCTTTACAACCGGCTTGAGCCAGTCAGAAAAATCTTTACATCCGGCTTGAGTCAGTCAGAAAAAGCTTTACATCTAGCTTGAGCCAGTCAGAAAATGCTTTACA